ACAAGAAAGCACCTGCAACAAATCTTCACTTCACCACTGTCCCCTAGAACCTTGAGTAGTACCCTCATACTTGGTTATGCAGAAGAGAACAGTCCCCATACCCTAAGGGACTGGTGCTCAGAGGCACTTATGAGGATGTCTAAGGCTGCCTCTCCCAATGTCCTTGTACAGCACACAAAACTGAAAATTCAAGGGGAAAATCTGCCCAGAGCCAAGCAGACCCCAGAAAAAGATAGGATCCTGGGCCCCTCCTTTTCCCTGGAGCAGTGACATGAGGAAAACTCCTTGGACCAGCTGGACTTTCCCCAAAGGGATGGCTGGCACAACAGATACTGAGTTCCAAGGGAAACTCATGAGAGGTCAGGGTCAGGGCTGGGCAAGATGGCCTGGACATTGTTTGACCCTACATGAGCCCAGAAGTCCATAGCTGAAGCTGGAAGGCTCCTGTGTCCACCATCCCAGCTCTGGAAACAGTGACCAGAGTAATGATAAAAGGCAGAAACTTCTAGAACCTACCCATAGGGCCTGCATAGCTTCTCTATGAGTACACTGTCCAGGGGAAGGGGACAAAAGAACTTCATCTCCATGGCGCTGTGTTGTCAGAGGCAGAAAACTGGGGCTAGGTACTCTCTCTACCCGGCATTTGGAAATGGAATATAAGCCTGGAGTGAGCTTCGGGGTCTCTAGACAGTTTGGATGAAGGAGGTAGAAGGGACCAAACAAGGCATTTCAAAGGTTTGACCAGGTATCTCAGAGAGAAGAGGTCCACCCAGAACAATGGATCTAGCATCATCCCTAGTATGGGTTGCTCTATTTTTAACTGGGGCTGGGCTCTGCCATTGGGCTATGGGCTCTTTCAAACAGAATGGGGGCTTTAATCTCAATTTTTCCTATAATATTTTGCGTGACTATAGATGCACAATGAGTATCTGTTGGAAGAGAGTAGAAAAAAAGGGAGAGAAGAAGAGAGAGAGGAGGGGAGAGAGGGGACTATAGCTGAAACTGAAATAAAGGCAGGCTTCCTGGAGGAGGCAGTTGTTAAGAGCCCTGAAGGAGGGGTGTTGGGGACCTTTGTTGTGTAAAGTAGAAGTTTCTTCATGTCCGGCTAGCTCACGAGCTTGGAGCCATATGCAGAGACTCCTTTCACAGCAGGGCATCTTCCCAGCATTTTTCCTGACTCCTTTGTGAAGTAGCAGCCACATAAACATGGCCTCTGGCTCTGGAAATGCCATGCTTTCCTGTGTGATTTTCAAGCAGTTTGGCAGCCTGGCAGGAGCCCATTACTACATGCAAATGAGGCATCCCCAAAATACCTATCAGCTAAAGCTTTTACCACTGCCCCTACAGTATAAAAATATCCCAGTCTTCTCTCAATAGTAGAGATCTGGATCACTAGGAGCTAGGAGCTGAACACTTAATAAAAGCTGTAACACGGACTAAGCAGAGTCCTGCATCTTACTACTGGCGATCCAGCCTCTCCGGGGGGCAGCATTCCTCCGTCACTGACTCACGAATCCCAGTTTCAGCAGCCTCGCACTATTCCTGGGCCGGTGGAACTCGCATATTGAGGAAGGTGCACGGGTGAAATCAGGGCGGAGACACGGCTGAGCAAAGCCTCAGCAGCAGGGACTTTCAGCACCAAAGCGGCGGACAGCGAGCAGACCCGCCTGTGGCCAGATCCGCCGTCGCTTCCAGGATGCGGCATGGCGGAGAAGCCTGCGGGACCCGCGCCGTGACTCTCCAAGTGTGCGCGGGGACCCCGAGATACCTGCGCACCTCACACTTGGCGCCCAGCGCGCCCCATAGGGAATGCTTCCAGTTTTTCTCCATTTAGAATGATGTGGGCTGTGGTTTTGTTACATACAGCTTTAATTATGTTGAGGTATGTTCCCTCCAGTCCAATTCCCTCTAGGACTTTGAACATAAATGCATGCTCAATTTTGTCAAAGGCCTTCTCTGCATCTATTGAGATGACCATGTGGTTCTTGTCTTTGAGCCCATTTGTATGATTTATGACATTTATTGACTTACTATATTATCTAAAACTAGCCTTCCCTAGCCAGTTTCGTTATCCTGCCCCCCCAGGGCATTCAAGCCACAGCTAAAACCAGTTGAGAATTTAAATTAACTAGCCCCTGCCGAGCACCTAGGAATTCAAGGTGACTCAGGGCCAGACAAAAGACTTTTTTCCTGCAGCCTAGAGGCTTGTAACTTGCCAAAGCGGCTCCCAGACAAAAGATTTAAAACTGCAACTTTTTTTTCTGCAAACCTAGAGGCTTATAACTTGCCAAGGTGCCCCAAGCCCTCTAGTGTCAGACTGCTGTAAAAACATCTTCCCTTTACAATGGGAAATTCAACATCACGTCAAAAAACAAAAAAAAAAACAAAACAAAAAACAAAAAAACACCAAATTCGTTCCCTTAAGACCCTGCTTAAATCTAGAGGGCTTAAGATCTCTCAAAAAGAAAGCTTAAATTTTTAAAATAAGGTGTATCAGTTTGCACCCTGGATCCTTAATTGTGGAGGGACCCCTTTGATGGACTCTAAAAAGAACCAGATCCATTGCTAACCACAGAGAGAAGATTTGTTTGTGTTTTACCACAGGATCAACCAAAGGAAAAAAAAAAAGAAAGAAAGAGACAGAGATGACATCCAAAGCCACACCGGATCACGTGGAGAGAGATCCATGACCTAGTGGAAACTGCACACCACAGATGTTCCCCTGGAGCTCCCTTTTCTGTCATTCTCATGGCTGTCTTTACCCTGCTTAGCACCAACACTTCAGACAGCCACCACTCTCCATAATACCATGTTCTAGAGATTTTACTTTTCTAGAAAAGAATCAGATCCATGTGACAATCGCTGGAGCATTAAAGTAATAACAAAATTCTTCTCAGATGTATTCTCTAGTTCCCCACAGCTAACTTTCATATCTCTCAACAGCTCACTGCTGCAGCCAAGTCTGTGTTAATTTACAATGTTATTCCACAGGAAAGACAGAGGACCAGATACTATGTCCTGAAACAAGTTTAACTTTCTTCCCACCTACCCCAATGCCTAACTGTTTCTTTTGTGTATCCAGTAATAGATTTTTTTTTGACAACAGTACCAGCTACCACCCTTCTCTACCCAGGAGCAGAAAAAGACTTCACTGACTCTCATCTAAGTG